TGTTTTCATGAAAGATGTGAGTTATAATTAATTTTTGCATTTATAATTTTTTTGTCTTTTTGAGACAGGGTCCCCTTGTAGCCCCAGCTGTCCTGGAACTCACTGTGTAGAACAGGCTGGCCTCAAACTCTGCCTGTCTCTGCTTCCTGAGTGCTGGGATTAAAGCTGCTTCCTGATGTAAATTCTGGGAACCGAACTAGGATCCTCTGCAAGAGCATCACATATTCTTAACTCTTGAGCCATCTCTCCAGCCCTAATGACAGGGGTATTTGAAAGCCTTCAGACTAAGCAGACTCTGCAGGAGGTAAGCACTGCTCTCCCATAGGCATCTAATGGTGCCTGGAACACCACAGTGTCTTCTTAGGCTAGAAATGTTTGGCTACAAAAGTAACAGAGAGTAAAGGCTTGGAACTGTCTTCTCTGATGAGATCATTAGGAAATCACTGAAGAAAACTGGGCTCTGTCAAGGTAGGTTTAGAAAAAGTCAAGATGGAGGCCTCTGTTGGCTTCTCCTTCCTAGGTTGTTAATACTGTGCACCTTCCACAGCTGCTGGTATAGCTCCTAGTAGCACTCAAGGAATTAATAAAGTTAAATACACATCACAAACTTGGGGAACATGGCTTCAGCCATAATGGCAAAGTACTTTCCTCATGGTGTCAGAGTTTGTAGTGTCCCTAAATCAACTCTTAGAATATCAAAAACTGGACAGCAAGCTGACCATATCTATTCATGCTTTCAAGGTCCTGGGCAGACAGTTCTGTGACCGCTCCATGATGCATGGTCATGTTCATATTACCTAATATAATACTTTTCTATGCACAGATGATAAAGACAGGCTCGGAAGCTGGTGCTGATAACACATTAAAGGTTTTCTTGTCTCCTCTCTAAATTGGGCTAATTGAATACAGCTGAGTGTGGCCTGGGGTATTAAAAACACGGCCCATCCCAGTTCCTGTCAAGTACCTGACGCCTGAGGAGGTCTCAGTCCGGTCTGGCATAATGAAGGCGTTAGTTACATCAGGTTTGCTACTGCTCGCTCTCCTTGTGTGGCCATGTTCCGGGCAACAGCCAGGTATGAGTAGTCCTTGACTATGATGCTTTCAAGGCTTGATTCCTCAATGACCATCAGTCATGGGGCTCTTGACTGCTGGGACTTTACTGTCCCATTTGAAAAGTTAACAACTTAATAATTCTCAGTCTCAAGTGTTATCTCCCCCTGGGTTACCAGAACTTTATTGTCCCACCCTGCAGTTTCATCACAGCTTTAACATACTCAGTAACAATTTACTGTAGTTTGAGTTGGTTCCCCACCCCCTCTCTTCCCACTTCTTCCTGCTTGGGTGCTCCTGGGATTTCCTACTAGGTCACCCTTAGGCACGTCTTCCACATGACACCCTCTTCCCATTGCTGGTACCTCGTCTGTCTTTTCTCTACTTTCCACCAGCATTATTCAACCACACATTCTTAACTGTCTTTCCCTACGGAATCACCTCTCCTCCCCTTTCTACATCATTCAAGATGTCATTCTGAACCCTTTCTGAAACACTCCAGTGTTTCCCTGAAGCCTGTTTAGTGGAGTATAGGCAAGTTTTCAACATCCTTTACAGACTGACCCCAGGCTGCTCCCAGATCCCAGGGATCTAATGGCTTGGAGGTATGTTTAAGGTCTTCATTTTACCACTGGTGGGGCATAGAGTCTCTCCTGCTCCCAGAAAGGAGAGCAGAGCTCCCTTAAAAATACTTTCAGGCCCTGCAGACCACCAGGGACTTGGCTCAAAGGAGGCAGGGATTGATTTAAAAGTTTACATACAAATAAGCTATTTTAATGATCCATACTTAAAAATAAGCTATTATGATGATCTGAAAGGTAGCAGAAAATTGATTTTGAGTGTGCGTACTAATAATTTGTGTAGTATTTGGGGGTGAGACCTGGAAGTGGCAGAAAGTAGGATGTTAGGAATAACATTGTCATTATTTAAGATTTAGATGTTGGAGAACAGAAAACACTCCTTTAGCTAAAAGAAAAGGATTGTGTAAAATGTCTCAAAGATGATCTTTTCTCAGGCTGCTGAAATACAATCAAGATGAATAAAACAGGAATTGGAAAAAATGATTTGAGAAGGTTAAAAGGAGAGACAGGGAAATGGAGGGTTTTGAGATGGTGGGGAAGGGGTGTGAGAGGACCCTTCTGGACACACAGGGCATTCATTCTCCAAAGGAACTTTTTGGTCCTTAGGACTTTGTGTTGCCACAGTGATTATTAGAGAAATGGAGAAAAGTGGAAGTTACGTGAAAGCCAGCAACAGAATACTTGGTTTCTCTGTGAAACTGCAGGACTCAGAAGTTAAGCAGGCAGAGAAGGAAATTGAAAGGGAAACACTTGTGCTGACGTCATTGCCCCAACTCCCCACCCCACATTCCCATCCCCACCCCCACCCTGCACATGCAGGAGCAGACAGGCTCTGCATCTAAGGCCACCACACTCCCAAATGTATCAAAGCCTGGCTCTGCTTCTGATGTAGGCACACGAGTGGGCAGGGCCTTGTAGCTCTTGTTAAGGGCGTTGGTCTTAAATTATTCACAATGGAAACCCAGTCAGAGTAATGGGCTGAAAACCTGCTGTGTTTGGGTTGATTTAAAGTTCCAACCACCCTGTAGTAACCATTTCAAAGTCTTGTTAAGGATCTTCACCCAACCTGCCTTTATCATTCACAAAACCATGTCAGTTAGAAGGAGGCTTACAGAAGGTAAAATTCTAAATGGGTTCTTCATGGGCAAGAGTTGCTGGATGTGGTGGAGCCCAGGCCTAAAGGAGCTGACTGCCAACTTGACTTCTAGCCAGATTATAAATTTGCAACCCCAAACCCTTAGGCTCCTCCCTTCCTCCGGGTGGAAAAAAACAATATTTATTCTGTTTCCCAATGATACAAAGAAATTCAAAATTAAAATAATTGTAGAGATTTGAAACTCCATGGAAAATGAATATGCAGATGATTTATAATTATAAATCATTTGGCTTTCAAGCAATGGAATTTTAAAGGCGGGGAGTTTTCTGTAGTTGTAGCATCCTGTAGAAGAACAGGTAAATGAGGTTATTGAAGACATTGTCCAATGTCTTTTAAGATTTGGAGCTGACTCCATAAGGAAAAATTAAATCCTAGGACCAGGAATGTAGCTCAGTTGGTAGAATGCTTGCCTAGCATGCACAATCCCTGGGTTGGAGCCCCAGCACCACATACAACTGAGCATGGTGCTCACTTGAATCTCAGGAAGTGAGGGCAGGAAGAACAAGTCAGTCATCCTCAGCTACTTACCAAGGCTGGGCTGCGGTGAGATCGTATCTCAAAAAAAAAGAACTAGCATCTGTAGGAAAATGAAGAGAACTAGAAAAATGAAGAGAGCTAGAAATCATTGTTATGTGAAATAAGCCAGACTCAGAAAAATACCACGTTTTCTCTCACATACAAAAATTACACATAATTGTCTGTTTATGTGTCTATGAAACTAAAAAGGGTATCATGAGACGGGAAGGAGAAATGGGGCATGAAAGCAGAAGGCAGGACTATTGGAGGAGGGAGGAAACCAGCCAGATGGGGGCACAGGGCATGGGGACGGCAGAGAGGAAGATGGGATGAATTAGAGGAAACTATAGTATCTGAAAATGCCATGATGAAACCACTAGGCTGTATGCTAGCTTAAAACAGTGTGTATGTGTGGTGTGATGGAGGGTGATGTTTGGGGGAGTTTGTGGGTGGGGGATGTGATGTGGGGGGTTCTGATGGGAGTGATGTAGGTGAGGGGATGTGGGGTGGGAGTGGTGTG